CGGCCCGACCATTTCTGTCACGCGATTTGCTGAAGAACATGATCGAATGATGTAGCGGGCCTTCGGCCCGCTTAAACCCGTCATCTTTGAGTTTGCCCCAAAGACTCGAGAAAGGGATGTAACGGTGAAGCACCGCGACTAAAACCCACCCTTCTGCTTAGAAAACGTTTTTTGGGGGTGGGGGAGAGTTTCCTTTCTATTTTGCGGTTTTTAGGCCTTTTTCTACATCTTATTGTTCACTATGGCAATTTTTAGCTAATTTTCGTCTAAAAAGACCCTCTAGCTCGTAAACGGTTTGAGATAGCGCAAAACGGACAAAATTTTCGCCCGAAGGGCTCTACTTTCACGAGTTACCCCTTAGAAGATCATAAGAAAAATATTTTTTCTAACTTTTTTGACCTACCCCCTTTTCTTTAATACCCCCTTTCAGCCCCTTAGGGTTGGTTGCCAGGATTTGCCGTAGGCGTTTTGTTTTGTGGGAGTGAACCTTAAGATCCCCCGAAAATTTGAAGTCTCTAGCACATCTCCTTCTTGTGGAACAGACAGACGGACAGACAGACACACAGACAGACAGACAGACACGAGGTCGTTTGCATAAGCCCGCTGGATAGCCTTTTCAAAGCAGAAGGGCGGGCTAAAAACAGAAAAAACAAGCAGGCCCGCCCTTCAGCCAAACGAAGTTGCCAGCTTCGCTTCGCTGCGCCGGCAACTCCGTTCGACAGGGGCCGGGCCTGCCTGCTTGGCCTGCCGGCGGCGATGGTCGGGCCTGCGGCCCGACCATTTCTGTCACGCGATTTGCTGTAGAACATAATCAAATGAAGTAACGGGCCTTCGGCCCGCAAAGCCCGTCGTCCTTAAAATTTGCCCCGTAGAAACGAGAAAGGGATGTAACGGTGAAACACCGCGACTACAACCCACCCTTCTGCTAAGGAAACGTTCTTTGGGGTGGGGGGAGGGAGTTTCTTACCTCTTTTGCGGTTTTGGGCCTTCTTTTACATTTAATTGTTCACTACAGCAATTTTTAACTTATTTTCGTCAAACAAGACCCTCTAGCGCCTAAACGGTTAGAGATAGAGCCAAACGGACGAAATTTTCGCTCGAAGGGCTCTACTTTGTCAAGTTACCCCTTAGGGGACCATCCAATATTTTCAAAATTATTAAATGTATTTTTAGGCCACTTTTGTAAGAGAAACTCCCTCTAGCGCCCAAACGGTAGAAGATAGAGCAAAACGGACGAAATTTTCACCCGTAGATCTCTACTTTGACGAGTTACCCCTTAGGAGATCATAAAACAAATATTGTTTTCTGACTTTTTGGACCTACCTTATTTTCTTTGATACCCCCTTTTAGCCCTTTAGGGGTGGTTGCCAGGATTTGCCGTAGGCGTTTCGTTCTCTAGGAGTGGACCTTAAGATACCCTGAAAATTTCAAGTCTCTAGTACATCTCCTTCTAGTGGAACAGACAGACAGACACACAGACAGACAGACAGACAGACAGACAGGGGCTAAAAAACAGAAGAGGAAGCTGGCCAGGGAAGTTTGAAGAGGAAGCGGGTAAGAACTGCAAAATTTGAGGACCTTGAAGACATTTCGGCAGAGTGGTTCCATCAGCACAGGTCCCAGCACATCTGGCTGGATGGTGTCGTGAACAAGGCGAAGGTGAAGGAAATCGCGGGCACAATAGGATACACTGATTTCACTGCTTCGAACGGGTGGATCAACCGCTTCCAGAAGCATCACGAGATAAAATACAAGAAGATCAGCGCGTCACCGTTTTGCTAGCATGTAACCAGGATGGTTCAGAAAAACGTAAGCCTTACATTATAGGGAAATCCAGGAAGCCCCATTGCTTTCCCTGTGACTACTCGCACAACAAAAGGACGTGGATGACGGCCGAGAAATTCAAGAACTGGCTCTGTGGGTTGGATGCGAAAATGAGAATCAGTAAGCGGCAGATCCTACTCCTGACCGACAACTGCCCGGCCCACCCGAAGGACTTGTACTTCCTTACCAACATCAAGGTGGAGTTTTTGCCGCCCAACACCACATCACACACTCAGCCCTTGGACATGGGAATAATTAAGGTGCTCAAGCACCGGTACCGCCAAAAGCTTGTCAGGCGTCTCATCGCCCAGATGACACGTGGCGAGCCGCTGACACGAAAGGATTTTAAAATAAATATCGTCCAAGCTATGCACTGCATTGTTGTGAGTATCGGATGTGCATTTACCGTTGTTAGTCACTAGTTGACCTGGAAATTGAGTTCGTTTTTTTTTCCATTTGTAGGCAGGCTGGAATGAGGTAACTAAGGAAACAATCCAAAACTGTTTCCGTAAGGCAGGCCTTCTGCCTCCAGGGGAGGCGCCACTTCAGAAGGCTGAACTAGCCGTCGACGCCGAGGAAGAGGAGGATGCTGCCATCGACATGGACGCAGCCCTGGACGCTCCGCCTGGAGCCTACAGCAAGGTCACGGAGCGCTGGGAGGATGTGCTGCAGGTGTTCGAGGAAACTGGCATGTCCTTCGAGCAGTACGTCACTGCCGATGATTTTACTCCTGTTTGCGAGGTGCAGGACATCCAGGACATCATCGCCACCCTCCGAAAAGAAACTGAGGTGACCTAGACCACATAAAAATTAGAAAAACACACAAAAGAACATAAAATTTTAAGTTCAGTGCTTGGACCCATGCAATTTGATTTCAGAAAAACGAGGAGGACGTTGACGGTGAATGGGAAAGTGGAAGTGATGGTGAAAATGAAGGTGAGGATGGGCAGCCTGCTCGGCTTATCTCGAAGGCCGAAGCCATGGGGGCACTTGAGCGCTTCCGCCAGTACCTGTCCCAACTGAACGCTCCTGCCGACGAAGTTGAGGACCTGGTGACCCTCACCAGCAAGCTGGAGAACACCACATTGGGCCTCTCCTCGAGGAACCTCAAGCAAGGCACCCTTGATATGTTATTTAAGAAGCACTAAGCACTAGTCATCATAATTCTATGTTCCTATTATGTTACTTTCTGATTACATTATAAGTACACTGTACTTCTACCTTTCATAACATTTTCTTTTCATGTTCCATAAGAGCTGTTGTTTTTTTCATCCAAACCTATTATGTATGTACTTTACTCCAGACACAAACCTGAAACACATTTAGCACAAAATGTACATTTTCTGACAGTTTTTTCTGAAAAGTCCGTTATATATGGTCAAGGGACCGAAAATTTAGTCCGAAATAGGCGCTAATCCGTTATCAGCGGGTGCGTTATATGCGAGAAAAATAGCATTAAAAACCTAGGAAAATTCAAGAGACCGGCCGAAAAACGAGGGGTCCCCAACTCGCCAACTCGTTGTACACGAGGAAAAATACTCGCAAGATACTCGCGACAACTCGCGAAAAATTCTCGAAAACTCACGGAAAAATCGACAAATACTCGCCTAATACTCGCGGATACTCGCCATTACTCGCATAAACTCGCGGTTACTCGCTATTACTCTCGAATACTCGCGGATACCCGCGCAACACGTTGTAGACCCACTTGGAGAGTGAAGGACCCCTCGCCGAAAAATCCGATATAAGCGGTAATCCGTTACATGCGGGTCCGATATAAGTGGGTTTTACTGTATCTTGTACCGTTTCGGCGCTATGGGGCATTTCTGGGCGAAAACAACGTGAACAAGCAGGCCCGCCCTTCCGCCAAACGGAGTTCCAAGCTCCACTTCGCTGCGCCGGCAACTCTGTTCGGCAGGGGCCGGGCCTGCTTGGCCTGCCGGCGGCGATGGTCGGGCCTTCGGCCCGACCATTTCAGTCTCGCGATTTACTGAAGTGCATAATCAAATAAATAATGTGACCGGTAAATTACTTTGCATATTTGAGTAAACTAAAGCG